TCGAATGTCAAGTCGGATGGCCTCCTTTCTGTGCCGAAGATGCCCATGACACATATCGAAAGATTGTCGCCTGGCGTACGAATCTCTACTTCCCTGAGGATGTACAACTTGGACCTGAAGCCGAAAATCTCATTCGAAGGTATGAATATCTTAACTGTTCTCTCTTGAGTTACTAATCTAACTTTGTGTGCACTAGTCTTGTTTGTAATTCAGAGAATCGACTCGGACGAGTATCAGCAGACGAAATCAAGAGCCATAAATTTTTCCGTGGTGTTGAATTCGATACTCTGCGTCGTATTCGTGCTCCATTTGAGCCCAAGCTGGCTTCCAATGTTGATACCACATACTTCCCAACTGACGAGATTGATCAAACTGATAACGCAACCCATCTTAAGCAAGCTCAAGCACAAGCTGCCCATAGTGGTGTTCCTCGAGAGGAAGTACCAGAGATGAGTTTGCCATTCATTGGTTACACATTCAAGAGATTCGAGTCCAACTACAGATAATCGTGGTACATCTCTCCACTATTCGATTGAGCGGATCCGCCATGGAGCTGACCGGCTACCACATAGGTCAAATCATGAATCTCTGTTATTCTACCAAGTTTTCACCTGGAGTGAAGTATTTCTATTTCCTAGTTGTCATTACATGGCCTTTAAAAAGTCAATCTAGCCAGATACCATTGATTGCATGTTTTGCAAGATTACAATTAGAAGTCTGACATCTAGCGGGTCTGTTTCTTTTTCCTGATTTTATTTCGACTGGATGCACACATGAGCGAAACAGCCTGGTTCTAGACTTCCGGCATAAGGGTGGGTTTTAAGGTTGGGAAGAACTTTTTAAATGTGATCATAGTGGGAAAAATTAGGTTAAAATTGATGTACCTGGGTATACCTTGGGAAACATCTACACTCTCAATCAAAAAATGAAATAATATCAACTACTTGATTGCACCGTTCCTGGTGATGTTCCTGTGATCTCATATTATAATACAATTTAGCCATTACTAACTCCTAGGAACTCCATGCAATAACGTCCTCTCATTTTATCTGACTGGAGCCAGCCTGGCAACCACTGTATCTCTCCTCTCTCTCCGTCTTGAACATGATCTGAACCCAAAATTCTTTCAAATCCGAATCCCACCAAGTCCAATACCTTTCATTTGAGCGGTCAATCTCTCTTGCCTGTAACTTGAACCCGCACGTCTCATAAGGTTCCGCCGCTACCAACATATACTGAAAATCCTTATCAGGATCCTCCACCTTCTGCTCGAAAGCACTCATGAACCGGACCCGCGGTTGCACATCTGACACTATTTCGGGATACTGCAACTGAAATAACAATCCCTGCTGTCTTGTAACCGGATCCCGCGTCTTCGTGATCTTATACCCAGGCCTTCCAATCTTCACCATATTTTTGCGAACACTAACTTGCGCTCCTACCATTCCGACAGGTAGACCGGTAATAGGATCGATCCCCGAGCGGCCTTCCTTTTCCTCGCGTGCAGCACGTCGTGCGAGATTCGTCTGATGCTTGCGACCCTGGGTATGCGCGAGATAGGAACCATCATTTTGATGGACGGTAAGACAGAGTCGACATTCGAAGGAGCCGACGTGGTTCTTGAAGAAGTAGGGGTCTTTGTCTAGATCAATAGTCTCGAGGGCGAGTTTGCGGAGACGCTCACGACGATCGGCATTGGTTGCACTGGTGGAAGCGACACCACCACCGCCGAATTTACTGCCGGCGCGGTTTTGGTAATCCATCTTGGGTGGATGATGAGGGCGATGGGGATGGAGATAGGATTCAAGGCTGGTGAGCTTAAAGATTGATGAGTGGTAGTAACCGTGTCAAAACTTCGAACTTTGCTATTTAGGAGTATCAATCTGTAGACGCAGTTTCGAAATTGATATCGAATCAAAATCACCGTGATGAAGAAAAAAGCTTAAATGCGTTGTAGAGATGTTGCGATGGGAAAGTGAATGTTGATGTCGCGAAAAAAAGTTCGGCTGTGGTTCAGCCTCTCTTTGCAAGGCTGCAACTTTATTTCCAAACGAGCACAATCCATGAGTGAACCTCTTTCACAATGTCACAAAATCACAACTACCGCGTGGGTCAACGGGTATCGTTTCAAGGACAATTATGTACAATTCGATATATTGGAGAGGTCAAGGATACAGAGAAGGAATGGCTTGGGGTTGAATGGGACGACCCTTCGCGGGGTAAGAATGACGGGAAAGGGTACTTCAAATGTCAGTTGTTGTCGTGAGATATCTTTGGGAGTAGCTCATAATATATACATAGGTTTAAGTAATGCACCAACTCCAGCAAGCTTCATACGTCCTACCAGAAAACCAGATCCCGAGCAGAGCTTTGTCGAAGCGGTATTCCATAAATACGCTTCTGGAGATGGCCTGAACCCGGACAAGCAGATTGTTATATCGGGAAAGGTAGCAGAAGAGATAGGATTCGACAAAATTGCAGAGCAACAGGCTCAGGTACATGAACTCAAAATTGTTCTGGTTGATGGTCAGCGCATCAATAGGGCTCATACTAGACTTTACGATGCCTTCGCTACACCAGTGGTGGCTGAAACGGCGACTGATCTTACAGTCGGGGAAGCATGCCCAAGTATTGTTGAACTTGATTTGAGCAGAAATTTGTTTGTATCTTTGGATGAGATAGAAAACATTTGCTCGCAGTTGAAGAATTTGAAGACTCTAAGACTAAAGTAAGCACTTCCAATATTCTGTTGGGCTTGACTAATATTATTATTGTAGTGGAAACCGACTAGAGCTTGACACAAGCAGAATGTTAAATGCAATCACGTCAGGGTCTAGTGAAGAAGTTTTCAACATGATCAACGCTCTGGAGGTAGATTCAACATTAGTTGATTGGAATGAGCTTTGCATACTCCTGCAAAGATTCACTTCCACGGTATCTCTGACGGCATCCTCAAACGGCTTTAAAAGACTGAGTTCGCCCATCACGAGTCATTCTCTGGCCTCTTTGACCCTTGAGTATAATGACTTCACATCACTGGCGGATTTGAAGGTATTGACTCAACTCACATCCCTCGAATCTTTACTTCTGAAAGGAAATAAAATACATACAACGGGAACGATGACAGGGCCAGGGGCCGTGAAGTCTTCCACTCCCTTAGTCTTCAATAATAAGTTATCATATATCGATCTATCTTCCAACAAAATCAACAGTTGGGATTTTGTAGATGAACTCGTCCATATTTTCCCTGGCATGACGTCTTTACGAATATCCAAAAACCTAATATATCCGGAAACAAGCGCCGAATCGACAATGGGAAGTCTCAACGAGGAATTCATGTTAACATTAGCACGTCTTGGGAACCTTCAAAAGTTAAACTTTAGTGGCATCTCCCCTCAAGATCGAAATAACGCAGAATTGTTCTACCTCTCCGAGATAGGCAAGGAGCTTGGAGCTGTGGACTCAGAGCAGGAATCTACAGTCCTCTCTAGACACAAACGATACAAGGAGTTGTGCGACCTTCATGGCCCCCCAGCAGTAGTGAGGAGAGAAAAAGCAGAGATCAATCCTGCATTTTTGGAAGCACGTTTGATCAGATTTACGTTTTACGTTCCTGCAAACCCTGAGATTAGCCAAAAAGAAACCATCCTAGTGAAAGAGATTCCTAAAGCGTTCAGCATCTACCGAGTCAAGGGGATTGTTGGGAGATTATTAAATCGTAGGCCATTAAGTTTGAAATTGATTTGGGAAACAGGAGAATGGGATCCCGTTGCAGGGTATGAGGATATTGACGAGTATGATGACGATAACGCTGTAGAAAATGCCAGAGAAGCTTTCGCTCCTGTTGGATTGTCTGATCTGAATCAAAGACAATCTAAGAGAGAAGGTTCTAGCATCGCAATTGACAAACCTGTCTCGCAAACTCACGGGCAAGTAGGGGAGTCGAAGGCAGGCAAATTCATGAAAAGAGAAGTGGAGTTGGAGGATACAACGAAAGATGTTGGTCTTTGTGTAGATGGCATGGAGGCTAGGGTTAGAGTTGAATTCAAAGATTCGAGGAAATTTCCTGGCGGAGAGGAGTGAATTGAGATGAGTATATCTTTAGCATGCCATTTGATACCCGGATGGCACAGAGAAACACAGAATAGAGGTAGAGGAGAACCTCACCAAAACTGAATTGGGGCTAATGATTGCTGTTTTCCCATTGCATTGACAATCCAATTTACGATTTTCAGGTGCAATTTTTTTTTTTTGCTCAAGTTGTGTGTGTGCCGGTACAAGCAAAGAATATTTGGACGTTTCTATCGAACAAAGTTTGTTTGAACGACATGTAGAAGAAGAGAGTCTCCTGATCCCGTGTTTTTTACAGTTGATTGTAGAGTACAGAACATACATTACAAGGCAAACAAAAACAATCGCGCATAGATGTTGAGGTGTGAAAGTCAAATACCTAATTTAAAGTGTTCATCAACATTATATATATCTATCTCTCATACCCCTTCGACCTTTCTTCTCCGTGCTACCCACCATACATCATACATGTCACATTGATCAGACGAACACCCTTGCCATAAACCACCACAACTGGTCGCAAGTAGACTATCATGTCTACTAAAACCAACAAAAGAGAAGCTCCGGCTCAGGACCACACAGTTCAAGGCCTGTCGAGTCGGCCCAAGGTCCTCGACCAGGCTACTTCATAGTCCGCAAGACGGGACAGTCGTACCGCTAGTAGCGGTTGATGAACTACCCCCAGGTGTGGATTTAATAGGGGTACCGAGAAATCTAGATTTAGTGGAGACAGGCGGAATGTTGAACTTGGGTTGCAGGGAGGAGCACAACCTTGTGCTCCGGGGGGCGGGGGCTTTTTATAGATTGGTTGGATTGGAGGGGGATGAAGAGGGAGATTGAGTATGAAGATGAAGATAGAGCGGTGGAAAAGTAGTGGGTATGTATCCGTTGTCGAATTGAGGGGGCAAATGGTTTGAGGCGATTGTGTGCTAATTTGTCCAAATCAGATCCGATACTGCAGTTTCCAGTCCTCTTGTGCTACCCATCCGATCCTCCGCGTTGACCACAGCCACAAATACCAAAAATCTATCCATAAAATCACACTCCTCACCGGGCCTGTCAACATCAATCCACGCCCCTTTGCGCAATGCCACATCGACACTAGAAATACAGCAACAAGGACAACAGCAAACATGTCGACATTGGTGTACACATAATAGAAGATGCAAGTGGGCAGAGAATTGTCGGTATAAACATGAGATGCCCAGAACAAGATTTGAACTTGGGTTGATTGGGTTGAGTGATTGGCCGAGTTGGTTCAAGGCGGAGAATTTGGGATTCTTTCCTGGGTATGGGAGGGGGGTGGAGAGGTTGAGAGATTTGGATGTGGGGGGTGGGATGGAGAGGAAGGAGAGGGAGAGAGGTAGTAGAGGGTTGGGAGAGGAAATGGAGAGGGGATCTGGGATGGGAGTTTGGAGGGTGAGAGGGTACTGAGAGGTTGAGGGAGATGGAGAACTGCTTAGGGGTAAGGTTGTTGTGGGAAAGGGTAGGGATATAGAGAGGGTGGATACGAAATCAGAGAAGAGAGAGAGGTAGAGAAAAGGAAAAAAGAGTAAGCTCAAAGAGAGGGAGAGGGAAAGAGAAGAAAAATGGATATCAGAAGAGCGGAAAGCGAACAAGGGAGAGGGAGAGAATGAGAATAGAGAAAGCGAGGGAGAGGGAGGCTTCGAATAGAATCGATCGGGGAGATTTGGAGGGACGAGAAAATGGGAGGATGATAGTGAGGAGGGTAGTGATGATGAGGTAAGTAAGAGAGGAGGGAATAAGAAGGTGTTGGAGCTAGTGGCGAAAAGTAAGGGTTCTGGTGGGGAGAAGGAGAAGTTGGTTGACGTTTAACAATTCTGTTTGGGGAGCGGAGAAAGCTTTAGAGAGATTTTTTTGGGCGGTGTTTTGATGTCTAATTCATTTCATGTTTGAGAACAATATTTGGGTTTGTAATTCTAAGTGGAATAAGTGATGTGGCGTGTTGGTAATTGGGAAATTACGCGATCTTACTTTAAATTACACTGTTGAACAATCTACTACGAAGTTTGTTTTTTTGCTTATAGTTGCCCTTCTGTTTGTTTCCTGGAAATTCACTGCATTGTTGTCAGCCTGTTGTTAGTTAATTAAAGCAAGAAAAAGAGAGCCAGTGTAAGATCTAATTGCAAATGAACACCAATGCACTGCCATCAATTATAGGCCAAGGTGGTTTCATATTTCATATGATCAAAGCAAGGTGTAGAGATTCCTGAAGGAGAAGGGAAGTTCGGGGAATAATCAAGGGTTATTCAACATCAATCTTGTTTGGAAATATTGTTGCTAGTTTGTATTTTCACTGTCACTTTCCGTGCGCAACTTTTCATTTTGACCAACAATAATTCAGAAAGCAGCATGAACTATCCAAGAGAGAACTTGTTCCTTCAAGTGTTGCGAGATCAAAAGTCCAGAAATTCGATGACGTGAGTCGAATTCCTATCAACAATAAGCGTAATTAGAGTTGTTTTGTCGTCGTCAACGCAAATACAGTAGCACATATCGTCACCAAAACTATCTCAATCATAGCTGCTAGCACCGCGAAACACACAAGCATCTTGCCTTGATCCAAACGCCTAAAGCTCTGCTAAAGAACTGACTTCTCTACAACTCCTAGATTACCATCAACAGATAGTCCCTAGCACTAACGAACAGCAAACAACAGCAAGTCTACAATATAACCATCCCATCAGACCACAATTAGCCACATCTCTTCTATCTTATTCCATATCGAAAAGACATCCAGAGCCAACAGAACTCCCAATACAAAGGAGATATAGAATTAACCAAAAGACATCCTTTATTGCACATCCCATATCTAAACCTCGTTCCTGTCCAATCACAGTCCTAACATCAAGAGAACTAAAACCATCCTCATCTTCATTCTATATCATATTAGTAACCCTAGCATATACTATCTACTACCACCAAATATAATAACACTTAATTATCAAAACCAACAACGAAAGTCTACAATTAAGCAAACCATCTTATCTCCTTCCCATTACCCACCCAAAAGAAGTAACAAGTAACAAGTCCCAAAAAAGACTAAACACCGGATATTAGTCAGATACTAGAAAGTCATCATACTATTACCATTATCATTACCATCCTGCCCTCCTAACTATATCTCTTCTCTTTCATTACATAGGTAGGTATGATGTATCTACCGAGGTAGGTAATACAATCGCTTTCCCACAGATTAATCTTCAACTTGCTAGTCATTTGATACAAACAATACCTAGATACACTAATAAGAATAAGACTCCCATCAATTACTCAACTAAACTAACTATGAAAAACATACAATTCTTATCACCAATACGTACCTACCTAGTACTTGAAACAGCTTCGCGTTTCGCTTAGCTCTATGATCATATATAGTTGAGAGCTCTGTGATCATAGACAATTAAATCAAACACCCATCTTATCATACTCTAGCACCTGTCATAAATTTACCAGATCTCACTAGATACTGTTTAAAGAATTATTATAGTATTAAACACCGCTTTAATGTTTTGGAACCCTGCCAGACTATTGATTCACACGGAAGCAGAACCTCTACGTGTCCATCCTACACCATTGCATTGCCCCAGAAAACGCCTTGCTTGCCATACTTTCCATCTGATTATCCGAATTGATATCAGCCCATTTCATAAATATTTCATAACCCTTTTTACTCCTCCTAGCACACGTGTTATTCCAATAGCCTTCAGACGTCTGGATATGCAGAAGCTCCCTAAGACATTCTCGCTTTGCATGCCCTTTTATTCCATGCATTTCCCTTCCTTAAGCATATGCCATAGAAGTCAAAACTTCCGCCGCATCTGATTCAATAGGTCCTTGGCTCTGCTCCAATGGCGTCAGATCTCTAGGTGAAAATGGAGTCCTACTTGGAGACATAGCCGTATTCGGTGTATGCTCTGTAAAGTCAACGCCGCGGATACTGGGTGAATTTGCTTCTTCGTTCATAACGTAATCGACTTCCTCCCGGGGAAGCTTCGCAAGCTCAGCAAAGGCCGCCTTTCTTTTCGCCTCCATTTCCAAGTCTTTTGCAATGGCAACATCAAGTAGGACTTCCTTCTCCATCCATTCGTTCTTCCTTATTTCTTCCATAATCTCGCATTGTTTTCTTAGCGCCTCGCCTTCCTCCTCTGCCCATTGTATTTGCTTTCGTAGTAATTTCCATAGCTCAATGGGCCCTTTCGCTTCTTCTTCCAAAGTAATTCCCAATTCAGGAGGATATGATGTTGCCATTAACGAGGGTTCAACTAAGGGTGAGATATGTGCTCCTGCCATCGGATTTGAATCTGGGAATGGTTTCATGACGACTCTGGGTTGAGGATGTCTAGGTAGGCCTTTTGAATGATCTTGGATATGTTTTGGAATAGGATCGGAAGGACGAAGAGCTTCGGTTTCGTGAACTGTTCGCATATGTTTGGCAAGAGCATCAGAACGTGTGAAAGCGCGATCGCATTCTAAAATACCTGTTAGCTTTGTTCTAAGATTCAGTTGCAGACAACGAACCAGGCAATGCGCAATAGAATGGCTTTTCTCCAGTATGACTTCTCATGTGTGCCTTCAAAGCATAACCGCTTGCTTGTGGTTGACTTTTCCTTGGACAAGCCAGCCATTCACATGTATATTTTTTCGGTCTAGAATCAATGTGATCATGATGTAAATGATCCACCAACTGATCCATATCTCCCAGATCTCCCTTAGTGCAACCAAGCCATGCACAAACAGTAATTTGTTCATGTAAATCATCTAGAGCATCTTCAGGTCGTTGAACGATGTTTGGAGAGTCTGGAATGTCTCCTTCGGTATCAGTAGAACAATAACCATCTGTTCCATCCATTTTGATACGAGATGTGGCGATGCGCAAAGATTCGTCGCTGCTTATTTTTTGCCTCTTAGCAGGCGGCATGTGAGCATCTGCAGCCATCCGTTCGTTGTCTTCGTCGTCGAATGCGTCTGAGGAGAGATCGGAGAGGGGAGATCCTGGAGGTGAGTCGTCGGCCATGTTGAAGAGATCGAAAGTAACAATTAAATAGTAGAATTGATGACCGTAATTACGTCGAAGCTGAAAGTAGGAAAGGTGAGGTGAATTGTGGTGAGTTATCTCGAGTACAGTTGGTGTTTAAAGAAGCTTTGCGAATATGCAGTTGGGTTGCACTGAATGATGTCGGTCGCGAAGCATCAAAGCCAAGAGCTTGCGGAAGTTGCCGTGTAGCTCGCAATTGTTAATCATCCATCCACTTTTCTCAATTGGACCTGTGAACATTTTCTCTCTTCAATAAAATATTCTCAACTACTCTCGTCTCGTCAACTTTCTCAATTGCAATGAATTTTGTTCGGGAGACATGGCAGCAGTACTGTAGCTACCTGCGAGACTCGAGAGTGATGATTATATAGGTAAGCTCATACTCTATCACATTTCTTTTCTTCTTTTCGCGATGATGAATAACCCTCGAGTTCTGCAATTCGGAATGAGACAGGCAACTGTATCTATAAGTCGACAGAAACACATTACACAATTTATTCTGAGCTTTACAATTTAATTTGCATTCCTTGTGTACTACTCTACTTCACTCTTGTTACGTGATCGCTAACTTCTCTCCACCTATCAAGGCTTTTAACCTTCTAGATGTGCTGATGAATGTTCCGGATAACGACCACCTGAAACTGGGAACTGTTTTGTTATCAAATCAAGCTCCGCCAAATCGTCTGCATTCAAAGAAACCGCCTTTGAATTCTCTGCGATACGATCGACTGTTGTGGCACCAGGAATTGGGATGATTTCTGGATTGCCGTCTTCCTTGGAAATAGCTGTGAGCCAATTGATAGCGATTTGGGCCGGTGTACAATTCTTTTGCCCCGCAATCTTTGTCACAGCATCAAGAAGCTTCTTGTTATTTTCAAAGTGTTCTTTCTGGAATCGTGGAAACGTTCGGCGTATGTCGCCCTCGGGAATGTCTTCTGGCTTTTGAATTGCACCGGTCAACAAACTTCGGCCTAACGGTGAGTATCTGTTTTTCATTAGCTATACTATATCATCCATAGAAATCAGAAATACATACGCAACAACCAAAATATCAGTTCTCTGCAAGCTTTGGCAACCCATTTGGAAAATATCCAACGTGTTCAAAGCAACCTCAACCTCACAGGCCACAATCTTTGTAACCTTCGCGGCCCTCCTGACCGGCTCTGCCGAACATTCACTTAGAGAAATGCCTCCAATCTTCCCCGTCTTCACATATTCCTCCTCCAAAACCTTCATCGTAACCTCAATTGGGGTGTTCTTATCCACTCTTGCACATTCAAAAATATCAATCTTTTTCTTGCCCTTCAAAAGTGCTAAACACGTATCCACACTCTTCCTAACGCCTTCTGGACTTCCATCGGGAACAAATTTCTCTAGATTGATACCACCTTTGATACTCAAAACAACTTTGTCTGCATCTTCTGGATACTTCTCAAAGTAGGCGGCGCAGATGGTGAGGGAATTGTATTCAGGAGTTCCGTAGAATTGGCCCCCATTCCAGAAGTTGCATCCTTTGTCAAGTGCAGCTTTCAGGGTTTTAAGGGATTCTTCGAGGGGTTGAGGCTCTGGGCGCCAAGAGAGACCTGGAGAAGGGGAAGTTAGTTTGGAATTGAGATGGAGAGAAGTTGAGAAGAGGGGCGAAGAGGAAACACAAACCCATCATGCCATATCCAATGGTACCAATGTCTTTGCCGAGTAATTGAACCATTTTTGCTGATTTTGCTTGTCTCGCTGAGGGGCGGAGATTTTGTATGGTATTGTAATTGAGTGTTTAATTTTGGAATTGAGGTTTGAGATTTGAGATGTGATGGAGGGGTAGCTCAATTACACAAGTGTTCAATTGTAGGAATGGGGGGTAGGTAGGTAGCTCTTGCTGGAATGCAAGAAGTAAAATGGGAACGTCTCATTGTCTTTATATATTTCATTTCGCCATGCAATGCTTTATCGACCTGCCCAAAGGGTTCTCAGAATACTTGCCTAGATAGGTAGATTTGTAATATTTAATCAGATCATTATATCATCAGTAATATTCCGATGCAATCGATCATGGGAAATCCACTTCAGCATCATTGGTAATAGGGGCGGTGCGGCTATTGGCGAGCTCGGGTTTAATAAATTAAATCCATGAATACCTGAGTATGGAGTTGGTTTTTTTTCACGGTCGATAATGAATACAGAGTACATACAATGTGCAAGGTGGAGATTATTGTGAGTTTTGGGTGATATTTATTAATGTATATGGTAATATTTTTACTATTGAGATATGCATACTAGGTACATTATAATTTTGGCAATCGTGAATACATGCCATGTAAACGACGCAACACCCAAAATGACGTAGGACTACGGGACAATCATAACGGAGAAAAGGTTCTTTGCTGAGTTCCTATTTCCCATACCTAACTTTGATTGTGGTGATGGAATTAAGGAAACAATCGAGGGAGATAATTGAAATTAAGATCGTTAATGCCGCACCTTTGTTAGTATGCTGCTGACTGTAAAGTTTCTAGCCGTTCCAAACGAGGTGAGGGAGCCGTTGACATGAACATGGTATGTAAGGGGTGGGATGCGGCGTATGTCTGATAGTACATCGACAACTTGAATCCATCCAAGCCACATCCGTAGTGGTATATAAAGTCTCAGCATAGGTAGCACCCATATATCATATAACTCTCGCCCAGTTCACAACACCGTGTTGCTTATAATATATATCTTTTACTAGAGGTAGTCGCCGTATCCAACTTTTGTTACATTCCTCAACAATTCAGCCATCTTCGTCCCTCAAAACCCCTTCAAAATCCTTTTTTCAACTCCTCACAAACCCCTCCTATTAGCCCTCTTCCTGGCACTAGCACTCTCCTGATTCCCAAAGGGAAACCCACTCGTCCTCTTATCCGCACCAGTCTTTTTACTAATTCTTCCATGCGATGTTCCAAAAAGTAAACACCAGCCTCCAATCGCAAATAGAGTTGTCGAACCAAGTGATCCCAATGCAAATGCGAAGGTACCCATTGTTGTGTAGCGCGCATAGCAGTGAAATGCTATGAGACCGTGATAGGGAGTGCTAATGGTGAGAACGGGGACTGCGTAGGGTGCTTTGGGATCGCTTTCGGAAGAGGTGACTGCAGAGGAAGTAGTATCGGATATTGAAGATGTGAGGGGAACAGATCCGGTCAAGAGAGCGGTTAGTATACCCAAGGTCAGCAGGGTGAAGCCAAGTGACCGGGAAAAGTATTCTTCAAGAGCTAGGCGTTGTTAGAATGTAGTTCTAAGGTTGAATAGAACACAATAATATATGCTTACTGGTAGCATCTCGGTACTCAGGTGAGAGCATTGTAATTATGATCGTGGGTGATATGATTAACGGGAGGGATTGTAATGCAAGCCATCCTGCCGTTCCATACGTGTAAGAGTAAAAGACCTATTTAGCAGTCAGTAAACTACTCTCAGCATTTGAGAGAGAAAGTACATACATCCATGATTGCTGTAATTATTCAAAGGAGCTTTGTTTGTATTCTCAAGCTTTCAGTCTTTACTTATTAGATATCAATATTGAAAGACTTCAAAAGTACAAGTTTACTAAAGGTCACAGTGCCTCTTATGTGCATTCAGCTCTAAAAGCTCATCCCAACATCTCAAAAACATTAATCTTACGTCATTGTTCTCCTACCAAGGCAGCAATATGATATATAAGGCATCACTGCATCTTTAGTGAGGGGCTGCTTTCTACAACCCTTGTCAACGCCACCATCTCCGTGCTCCGATCCTCGCAATCAGTTTTGACGAATTATCTTAATTGTGATTGTAAATGATTTCCAATCTTTGAATTTTTGTGAAGATAACGAGACTCATCCACCTTTAAGATCCATACATCTCCGACATCTAGATACCTAATACTTATATAGTTTTTACTTTCCAAACCTACTCGCAGAGACAGAAACCTGGACAATATCAACATTACAAGAATAAGAATTTAAAAGAAAAAGCGGCGCATTCAGCGTCCGCACCCCTCATCGGAATCATGAGCGCGATTCTTTCAGCAGACGATTTGAACGACTTTATATCCCCAGGAGTCGCATGTATAAAACCTGTCGAGACTTTACCTGTTGCGAAGCTTTCTGCGGATAATGTATGTATATTCTAGTCCTTCGCCCCTCGACCTGATCTTAATGTGTCTGTCTAGGAACTCGAAATATCCTTCAACACCGACGCCCCCCTTCCATCTGATTTACCCCCTGCGCAAATATCTCTCACAGACTGTCTCGCATGCTCAGGATGTGTGACATCCGCCGAAGCCGTTCTCGTATCCCTACAATCGCATGCTGAAGTATTATCACAATTAGATTCGGCACCTGGCCTTCGCCTACATAAAAGTGCGACAGGTATAAGCGTGGAGGGAATCGAACAAGGAGGAAAAATATATGTCGCAAGCGTGAGTCCACAATCGCGAGCAAGTATTGCGGCGACTTTTGGAGTCACCGAACGAGAAGCAGGTTATATGATTGAGCATCTACTCAGTGGACCAAAGGGGATTAAGAATCGAGCGGTTTATAGGAATGCATTTCAATGGGTAGTGGATACGAATATCACACGGGAGGCATGTTTGGTACTTGGAGCTGAGGAAGTTATAGCTTCCATGAACGGCGCAGAAGAAACCAAGAAACCTATTCTGACATCTTCATGTCCTGGGTGGGTATGCTACGCAGAAAAGACACACCCACACGTTTTACCACATTTATCACGCATGAAGTCACCACAAGCATTGATGGGAACTCTTGTTAAGACGACATTGAGTCGAAAACTTGGCATTTCACCTGAGAGGATATGGCATGTAGCGGTTATGCCATGTTTCGATAAAAAATTAGAAGCTAGTCGAGAGGAATTGACCGATGCCGTTTGGGAAGGGACTGGAACCCGGGGCGTTAGAGATGTTGATTCTGTTATCACGAGTAAGGAGTTACTCATGCTCGCAGATTCTAGGCGTATCGACTTTTCCAAATTACCTCGGACTCCATTACCTTCATCCTCGCACATACCATTCCCAGATCCAACATTAAACTCTTTTCTTTTCCCATCTAATCGCAGAAGTAGCGGCAATGGTAGCCGCGAGGCTGGTTCTTCTGGTGGAAACCTTCATTATGCCCTTCATTATTTTGCATCGCAGCATAAGGGATCATCCGTCCAGACAATCAAAGGCCGTAACGCAGATGTTGTGGATTATACTGTTGTCGCAGATAATGGCGACATATTACTCAAGGCGGCTCGATACTATGGATTCCGAAATATACAAAATCTTGTTCGACGATTAAAGCCAGCCAAGCCGTCTCGAATGCCAGGTGGTAAACCACTTGGAAGTGCCAGGCGGCCGAATGGTAAAGCTACTGGTCCCGATTATACGTATGTCGAGGTCATGGCTTGTCCGGGCGGATGTACCAACGGAGGTGGTCAGATTAAGGTTGACGATCCAATAAACACAAGTCGATTAGAAGGTGATGCGAAACCTGGTCCACAAGAACAGAAACTGTGGCTGGCCCAAGTCGACGAGGCGTACTTCTCTGGAGAAGAAAACGCTGAGTCTCCGAGTGTAGATGAACGTGATGATTCAGTTGAAGGAATTTCACCTTCATACATTAAAGATACCCTGTCGCATTGGGCGACAATAACAGGCCTAGATCTGGATAGATTGGTGTATACGACTTATAGGGAGGTCGTCAGTGATGTCGGTAAGAACGCTGGTGACGCAGAAAGGGTGATAGAAATCGCCAATAAGATTGGCGGAGGCTGGTAGTTGATGACTCTAGAGCAGAAAATCAACTCATTTTTCCACCTCGATTTTTGAATTCAAATCCTCTACCTGCCGCATCAGGTCCTCTTGGTGCTCTAATAACTTGTTCGTTCTCTCGTGATGTTGGTGTAGATGTACCTGATCCTGGTCGTGATCCTTCTCCATTTCTAGATGTCTTTTGTATTGTGAACGATCCGGGCTTGGATGTATAGTTCGGATCAAATAATTCTTTCTGTCCAGTTCTACTATCTGGCCTACTATCAGGTCTCCGAACATCATTTCCTCTACCTCTTCCCCTTGCTTGTAGAGGGGGTGTTCCATTCCTGGGAGTATTACTACCGCTACCCCCTCTCCCATTTCCAGAATTACTTCTTGGTGAAGAACTTGTCCCTAAGATTCTGGCTCTGGCTTCATCGTATTTTCTTTGCTTTTCCTCTCGTTCACGTTGCGCCTTTTCACGCAGTTCTTCAGCACTTGGTCCTGCGACAATTACTTCCTCTTCTTCCTCTGCTTCAACTGTGGTCGTTTTACCAGTAAGAGGATCTATTTTAGTGACTGTTCTGGGAGCGGGCTTTCGAGATAGAAGTGTAAGAGGGGCCTTGTAAGGTGTAGCTAATGGGACAGGTTTGGCTAGATTTGGAGGGAGAAGGAATGGAAATTGTTCTGAAAGGCCGCCTGGAGTTTCGCTGTTGAGTGAACGTGTTAGTTATTTAGAGCGCAAAACAATATAAACTGTAAGCGTGTAGCAAAACATACGCAGATTCCCATATCTTCTTGTTAGTCTCCGCATGTTTTGCTAATCGTTCAGCCTTAGAAATTTTGGGTTCGTCCTCGACCGCTTTTTTCGGTGTAGGTGCTGCATCCCATGCATCGGCTTGAGATTCCCAGTCGTCGTCCCAAGCACTAGGGGCCGATATTTTTTTGCTCATATTCTGTTGGATTTAGTGAAGTTTCGTATCAATTTTTTGCTGGCGAATTGAGTGAAATGTGGTGAGTTGTGGAGGGATGATGAAAATGGAGGGGTGTACATTTTGGGTTTGCAAGGGATGTGGCTTGGTGTAGGGGTACACCACGCTAGTGCTGGCTAGTGTAGCCTGCAGGGCAAGGCTGTGGGTGTTTATTAACTTCAGAGCTTCATTTGTTCCAATCTCCGATTGTGGGAAATATATTCACTGCCATCAGACGAATAAATCTGCCTTCTTGATACTTTCCAGCCTATAGGTTCCCAATACGGTGGTGTAAAAGTTTACCAAAATGTCAGCACAAGAATCTCCAGGTAAATAAAAGCTTCCACCCTCCAGCCCCAAGTTGGTCAACCCCAAAATCAATCATCTCACAAGCTCCCCGACAGATCAACAACAACCCGCAACAGACGCTGGGATCGAAGTTTTCTCAAGCCAAGAACCTCATATACAAGATCACGCAATGGAAGCTCCTGACTCTCCACCCGATTTTTACTCTGCCCACAACCATTCTAACACACCAGCTACCACACCTTCTAAGAGCGCTGCTCAGGAAAAGGTTAATCATGGTGCGCCTGGTAGTTCGTGGAATTCAAAGAAGTTTCAGGAGGAATATGACAGGGCATGTGATGGACTAGTTGACAAGAACTGGGATGGCAGTGAGTTTCTCCATGCAAGTTGCCGCGAGGGGGAGTAGAAATGCTAATGTGAATGGCAGAAACCAGATATGGTGACCCGCTGTTGCAGAAATGAGGAGACTTTAATGACTAGGTGATGGTCTACAGCGTGGATGATTTTTTATGATAGCATTGTTGCGAAGCAGTTGAGGCAGAAGATATGATAAGATGCATAATGGCTTGGGAGTTGGGAGGATTTGCTGGCGTTTTAGGAAGAGTAGACGGAAGTATGGCAAGGAATAGTCTCTATCTGCTTAGAAATGATGGTGTAGTACATGCCTCATTCTACAGTCTGTCTGATATCATCGTATTTTCTATTTGATACGTTCACTCTGCTGGCTGTAGTAGTGTGATTATCTCCTTCCAATCGTATTATTGCTAATATACTAGAAGATTGTGAAGCCAATCAAAATTGAAGACTCAAGCTGCAAGTGCAAAGCACGTCTCGACCCAATCTAAATTTTCACTGCTAATCCGCCATCTAATCGTTAAGCTGTATTGCCATATCAAAGCCCATTCTGTATTTCTTGCCATGTCATAGCTTATTTATCATCTGTGCTAGGAGCAAAAGCCGCCAAACGTTTTTTTTTTCTTCTTCAATGATTTCTAGTATTGTTAAAAGTTGGCCGAGTCATTGATTTGAGTTGTACCGTTAAAACGTACCAAGCATTGGGAGAAATGGCTTAATGTTGTGAAGTCTCCAAACCATCGACGGATCTCATTGATGCTGTCACAAACTATGTTTTCAAATATTAGTACACTTTCACATATGTTGGTATTCTATGAGATAACGGATGATTTGCCATGTAGTCCAAAGTTCGATTCAAAAGTGAACGACCATGTAGCTATTGTTGGACAGAATGTAGAGATTACTCACTGGGAAGTAAAGAAATTTCTAAGGAAATTGGCCACACCTATCCTGCTGGAGCGCTAGTCTGAGTCTACGTCTGAGTCTATCTCCGCAGAAACTGTCGACTTGCGTTTCTTGTTTTGGATCTCCTTCGCCTTGCTTTCGAGCACCCGGTCGATTAGGACAAGCTGAAGTTCAAGATTTGGAACTTGAACTGGATTCGGATTGGCATCGTAATGGCTTAGGTTTTTTGTGAAGAGTTCGACAACGAACTTGCAGTTTTTTATTAAATGGGCTGTGAAATCACGACCAAATCTAGAATCGCAGTGGTAATCGAGCAGGCGCCTACCATTTGAAGTGCTTTCAAATCCGATACCATCTGTATACCCACTGCGCTTCCAAAGTTCCAAGGGCGACAACGGGTTGTTGTTTCGCTCCACCTGCAAGTAAGGGAGGAAGACCGTGCCAACAAACACGATGAGCTTATCGATATCGAAGAAGTTGGCGTGATCCGGAATAATCAAGGTCAATGTAAGGACTTGACCCAAGTACCTATGGTTCTTTGGGAAGGTTGGATTTTCTGAAAAGAACTTTTCGCAGATTACAAATTGTTTGGGATCAATTGCAATCTGGGGTTGTGGGAGTGTGGTAGCCACGTCGTCTGTTGCGGTTTTGACTGTGCTGAGGAGTAACAGGTGGCTTGGTTGTTCAATGTAGTGATTGAAGTTTGCTGAATATTCTTGAGTGGTAGTTGACGAAGATGGATCAGTTGTTGTTTTGAGAAAGAGGGTGGAGGTGAGATTAAAGCTGGGAGGTGGACTAGTCTATGAGTAGGCCGCAAAATTCTTGAGCTAATAGATATTCACTACCTACTCAGTTTTCAAATTACTTACACAGGTACACTGGAATTTGAAACAATTGAGTACGCTTTTTCATTGCATTTGTTCACCTCAAAGTCATAATTCAATGTCTAATGTTGCAGTTGAAATCGGTTTAATGCAGAAGTTTGCCTTCACTTTTGATTGCAATGCTACCGACTAAAATGCTCATTCCGCATAACTTGCTTCCTGCCAACCATACTTCCATACCATAAGAAGACCATCGCGTAACACTGCAATAATAATCAAATTCTTCAGGTTGAGAATGCTAAACTCAAGCTCTCTGAAGTATCCGAGCCCCCAAACATGTCGCTGTCATTTTAGACGTCCATCGACTCTGAGACTTCCCCTCAAGTGTATTCCAGCAGCCCATCCTATGCTCACAAATTGACTCCCCGTGCAATATTGTTGGAAAAACAAGCCTTTGAAGTCTGTAATATTGTCTAGCTGCGCGGGTGTGTTAGCAAGTTAACGCTCAGGATGGGCTGTCATATCATACCTCCTGGGTTTCAATTCTATTTTGGTGCACCTTTCCTTTTTTTGCTTGGCTGGTCGAGACAATTAGATCCATTTGATGCGATATTACTACCGCCGTTGGCTACAACTTCGATCACGGACTTGATGGATCCTGCCAACTCCGAAAGTTTTCCTAGAACTTCACCCTTGACCTTGTCTTCCATTTTGCCTTCAACCTTTTTTGAGACATGAACCTTTGATTCGGCTTCAAGTGCACGATCGACGAGAACAAGCTGAAGCTCGAGGTTTGTACGTGGTGTGAGTGATGGGGTAGGGACCGGGGCTGGTATGGATTCTGCTGGTTTCCTGCAAAGTTCGAGGAGGAATTGACAGTTCTTCTCCAAGAATCCTTTGAATTCGAGGTCAGATTCAGAGCCGCTGTGGGATTCTAACATTTGGCGACATGAAGATGTTATACTCGGAACACATTCACTGTAATACTGAACACATCTATACATCCAAACTTCATGTGGAGGCAAAGGGTCATTGTCGCGTTCTTTGATAAGACGTGGGAGGTATATTATGCCAAGAAACGTTATAAATTTGTTGATATGACGGTCCTCGATAGGATTGGACTGAATACAAATTAGGGCAATCGTAAGAATTTGGTTCAAGAGGTTGTGATCTTTTGGGAGCTTGGGACATCTGTCGAGGAAACTCTCTTTTCGGCGCAACTGCTGCTTGTCTTGGAAGGACAACGCTGTGCTTTCTTGGGTTGAATCGATCGCGCTCATTTTGCTCGATCTGTTTTTGATTGTTTGATATATTACTGGAATTTCCAAGTCGATTGAGCTGTCGTCTTGAGAAAGAAATGACTGTGGTGATGTTTGATTGAAGTCGTAAAATATAGAAGTCCAGAGATCAGAGGCTATCTAAGAAAATTTTCCTCTAAGATTATTCGGCAACGATTCAGTTTTTTAAAATATAATTATGTTTTATACTCACCTTTTCGACTAGATTGACTTTTCAAGTGGAAACATCGAATACTCGTCTATAAAACTGAAAGTAATTGTCTGATGTGTATGGATGTTTTCCGTCACCAAGATATTGAATGAGTTTTGCGCGGATATCATTGCGACTATAATATATTCTGCGACATGAAAGCTGCGTGTAAATATAGAAGTGATAACCTGTGCATGACATATACACAACCGCCATTGAGGTGAACTTCGTACTTGTAAAAAGCTACGCTGTTGTGCCTCTCATGCAGGGTGTACCCAAAGAGATACCAATCATTATGTGGACCGATATTCAGATTTCGAGAGTTAGGTAGACTGCGCAAAAATACTTTGCTCCATGAATAAAGCTCAAGCAGTACTACTCACTCCACAAATATTCACTTGGATCTGAAAATAACCTAAATCACCTTTGAACATCACCCAGGCCAAACTCAACATCAATGACTTGCAAAATTTCAAAGATTCTCAAGGACCCGAAACTTCCAACTTGCCTGTGGAAGCAGTATTCGCAGGACCACATTGCTTACATACATATTTTACATCAGTTCTTACTGAATCACCGACCAAGCTTTCAAGCGATGAATAATCTGTTGCACCAATCATCTCACATCTGACGTTTGTGCACCTGGGCTAAAAAGTCTGCCTGTCCAGTTTTATTATACTTCGGCTTTGAGAAATAGCTCAGAGAGAATTGCTGTCGACGGTCTCTTTTCTGTATGGGAAAGGGCAAATTCTAATGGTCTTTATCCGCGAAAGATAGGGTACTGTCAAGTCGAGGATATGGAAGCTATTAAGATTTTGGACTGCTAGGAAGGATCTGATGAGAAAAATTTGAGTACATGAAGACTCATAGGACTAATTTTTTTAATTGAAGTTTTTAATAGCAGTCGCTATTTTCTCAATATACTGATAGGTAACAACAGTCCTTTATGATGCAAATTCCATCCATCAATACCTGCTGAGCGGTAATGTTTATCCATGAAGGCTCTGCTCTATGCCGAATTGAATTAGCTCCCACACGAAAAGCCCCGAGATTTGATAACGATCGAATTGTTTCCTGTAAATAGATAACTCATATCCTCAAATGATTAGAATTACTGACACTGTTACTAATCCAACATGTGAACCAGTATACGGAGGTATCCAGAATCTGAAAACCCAGCTTAATAGACAACAAAGGCCGGAGCCAATTTAAATCCAAGATCTTGTGACATTCTAGTCAGTGAATCGCGGAAACTTTTCAGAGATAGCGGATATATTGCATCGGAAAGAAGTGAATGTGATAAACTAGTTTAGCTCTTTGAACCTCCAATATTCTCATATTGAATTAAGAAAGTTCTAGGCCATCCGCAGAAATTTCCATGTACTTGTTCTGAGCTAAAACATTGATTTCCATTCGCATTTGCTTCTTATCAAGTTGGAATTATTGGAAATCGTAAGTTTCGTGCTCGCTTATTTATCTTATTGAGACCTCTTTTCAAAGTGGTCTCCTGGAATCTCTTTGTATCATCAACACGACAAAAATCCCTCGCTTGGGAACTACTTTATCCTTTGTTATACAACACATCTATAATTCAGCTCTTATATCCCTTGGCAACTTGGCAAAACTTGTTACTATCTAGTTCCTCTCAATCTTTCATCCCGGATTTCTCTATGCGCTTCACCACGTTAGTGGAACCTTTATATAAGATGATACCGGCCGCAGATATTGAGACACTTCCATCCCCAGAAGTGTTGTATCATCGTCGCTCTTCGGAAGTCTGGTCTGATAGCTATCATGATCCAAAGAAAGAGGGTAGAGAGTCAAGTGAAGGACTTCTCTCAAAAACCCACTCTCTCGCTCCTTCGAGAACGAGATTTTTCTTCAAGAATCTTCTGGGGATATCAGTTTTATTCTTAATTCTTTTGAATGCTCTACAGTTGATCTTGATCCTATCAACCAGCTCTAGGTCCTTGAAAAATTGTCTTGCTTCATCAGGTAATCATCTCGCGTTTTCAATTTCAGTGCAGATCACGATACTAATAGGCCATAATCATGCAGATATCCCAGAACTCAGTCTCGAACGTTCTCAAACCCGTCGGATCGCTCGCACCAGCCCTTTTACTTCACGCAATGTCACAGACGGTAATGAAGCCTGGCACAATATTCTACCCGGCCATGGTGTCGTCGCTTTACCCGAGTCATATGTCAAGAAGAACAATATACCAGAGTCGACTGCAACTCATCTGTATTCTGGTGATACGGAGCCCAAGCATATCTATTTTATTGAATCTTATCACGTTCTACATTGTCTTGTATGCCTCTCCCCCATTTTTCCTCTTCTCTTCGGATATGTTACCTTCTTCCAACCAGACTCTAACACAAAATAGCGTATGCTTCGCAGCCTCTATCATTCCATGGACTACGGACTACCCAAAGAACCATATCTTCCTCCGTTAGATCACCCTTACCACTGTTTCGATCGAATCCGTCAATTCATCATGTGTAATCCGGATTATACATTGGTACCCAATATAGCAGGACACGATAAATCAGACTTCACGCAACCGAACAAAAAGTGTCTGGATTGGGATGCATTGAGAGATTGGGCAGAAAAGTATCATGGGAATTACATGGATGATTTTGCAGTTTCGGCCAAAGAGAAAGAGGAGATGGGGTATGATGAAGTGAATATATATAACAATTATAAAAAAGGTGATGGGTTACCAGTGGGACAGCTTTAGGATTCAGTGAGCTATGGATTCTAGAGAGATGGGAAGGATGGAAGATGGTAGATGGTAGATAGTGCAGGGGACGTATAGAGGATAGAGGATAGCAACGACTTGTACTATACATATAGGGCTAGAATGCTGGACAAATACACTTGCAAACGACCATGAATAGCACCAACGATGTGATACCGCATGTACTAGAGATAACTTCCTTCCTCCAGCGGAAGTAACAGGATAGAGCGGAAACAGTTTTCCACCTAGACCCACCTCCACCCGCTTTCCCTCCCGTCCCCCACTGCACCTCCTCCCCCACCACTCATACCCATTCATTTAACTCACAATACTTCCCTGCTGACACGTTGGCAACATAATTTGAAATTAAGAAATCTCTCCCATCAAATAGGAACAACAATTTCTCAAATAAGCAAGTTGGCGCAGTGGAAGCGCGCCGGGCTCATAACCCGGAGGTCCCCAGATCGAAACTGGGACTTGCTATATAAGATTGAATTTATTTTTGCAGTTTCTTTGACTGTCAAGAACATATACATGTAAATACACAAAGAGAATCTCAAACTTTTATCCTTCAGCTGAGACAAGGGATTGTCAAATCTTTCCAATTGTGTAATCTTCCAATTATATCATCATACGAGCGTTGATTATCGAGTTATCCATGAGTTTGAATACCTACATCGTACAGACGGGGAAATTTTGGCAGGTGGGGTGAATTGAAAACTTCTACCTGTGCGGAACAAAATATATGAGCGGTCCTCTATGTATCTCTTATCCTATCACAAGCAGAGGGAATCCACGTTACATCCATTTATTAATTTGTGGTGTGGGGCAGGTGATGGTGGGGTACTTTTTGAGGGTTCGGCTAGCTCAGGGGATGTGGTTTCTAACCGTGATTAATGTTCTGTAACTTTTTTGGGGGGGGAATTGTAGGTGTCAATATTTTGGAACTTTTACGTCGCATAGAATTAGAAGAGATATTCAAAAGTCTTATCTCAGTAGCTAATTCCAGAGGAAAAAAAAGCTAGCTAGCAGTCTTAAGCAAGTTACCTTATTCCGAAGAGCCATCAAACAAGCCAGAAATCTTCAAGCTGCTTTCGTCTAACCCTGCCTCCTCTACCACAAAATTACAACATCTGCTATGATCGGAGCTACATGCGTGGTTGGCAAGTTGCCCATTACATTTTCTGTCTCTAGCATCACCACACATCCTCCATTCCTTTAAGTCTTGAGATTTCCATTGTGATTTTCGTTCTCTGAACTATCATTCAACATCGACACCCACCCATTGGCTCCATGAAAATCTGAATTCTTCTTCGGCGGGATTGTAGGATTATGAGGAGTGATGTGAATCAATCTCTTTCCAAGTAGTCCTTGTGTGCGTCTCCCTCAACTTACCGACATGATAGGCAATAAAAGCCATCTGTCACCACACGAGACTCAAATTCAACATGAGAGTGTGAGATGACTGTCAGAATATATTTTCCTGTTAGAATATTTCTATTAATCACCATTTTAGCTGTCCATCTGTCATATCAATACAAAACATCTAACAGTATTGATTACATAAGAAACATTTCGAAACACAATTAATCTCACTTAAATTATTGAAGCATGCTTTTATTCAAATCCTGAAGATCGAATCCTATACCATCCATCTAACAACCAAGTAATCAGTTCTATTCAATCAAATATTTCCATTCAAAAGTCACAACTTAACCCTCAAACCATATTTACAACCCAGCCCAGTCCAATTCCACCATCCAGAGATCAATCTTAAGCTTGCACTCCGAGAAAACCTATCACCAATACTTCATACTTCCATAACATCATCTCTAACCTAGCACCCCAAACAAATTTAGTAAACCATCACTTATTTCACTACATTAGTGAACACGGATCATGCATTCATGGTTTCAGTATATCTCTTCCCCTACAATCAGACACGGAGTTTTATAATGTAAGAGTTTATTCGAGAATTCACATTATTTTCAACCCCATATTCTGTCTATAACCTTTAGAGACGCATCTTTTCCGAAATTCAAAATTCCAGATAGATGTCTCAGTCTAGTAGTATCTACCTACCTACCTACCTACCTAACAAGCACATATCTGTAGCAATAGAATCTCCCCAACAAATCTCCTTCCCCTTCTTCCCTCTCCCTTTATCCTCAAGATTTTCTTTCCATCGCTCTTGTTTGAAGTTGTTTTGAGGCTTGAGTACCTAGGTAGGTAAGACATTTTGCAGGCTCGGATGTTTGAGATGTAGATATGGGTTTCGTGACTTGTCTTGTCTTGTATCACAAACGGATGTGGCGTTTTACTCCTACGGGAATTGAAAGGATGATGTTCTGGGAAGAGGAGTTGTTTAAGGTGGGTGTGGGTGCGGGTTCGGGTGGAGATTTGATGAAGAGTGTATAGTGTGTAGTGTGTAGGGGGTTGGATAATGCGGTGTGGTGTGGAGATGAGGAGATGTTTTACACTTATATAGTTTGTGTTGATGGAATTAGGATTTGAACGTGGAGGTGGAGAGGCAGGTGGAGAGGTGAGGTGAGTGAAGTGAAGTGAGGTGAGGTGAGGTGAGATGAAACGAGGTGGAGTGTTCAGAAACAAATTTGAAGAGGAAAAGAAGGAGAAAGGAAAATCGAAAAAAAAGGAAAAGAAGGACAAAGAATAATAATTGTATTCGATCGATAGACTCCACCACGAGTTTTAAGTTAATTAGTAAGTATAGCTATGATTAAGAGTTCCTGGTATCTCCAATCTTGGAAATAAACTCATATCTCCACGCGTCGACGATGATAATTCCGCTCACAGATAGGAAGATCAGATGAGGGGAAGCTATTACCATGACTTCTGGCTCACTTGGTTTTGAGTATCAAAGATGATAATGATATGAGTATAACACGACACGACATAACAATACATAACAGAATCGCAGTCTTAAATTCCACAATCGAATCATCTAAATTCTAGACTCCTATCAAGAAGGGAAGTCTCGATATGCGTACAGACAGACACACATGATAAATGATACCAGTACATAGTACACAATACACAGTAGCACACAAAAAATTTCTCTCATACTCATAGAAACATACAAAAACATAGATTTTCCCCAGAAACCTAAACACCTCGCTCGATGCTCGAATAAAGATATCATGCCAAAATTGGCACCCTAGAATAATATACACCAATATCGCCGCATGTGTAATCCCAAAGGTTTTCTTTCTTTTTGAATTTTTTTTTAAATCATCATACCTCTCGCCCAAAACAAACGCCTTCAGTTACACCACTCTCGCTTGCGCAACCCTAGGTAAAAGTTCGATATTATCCTACAGAAAGAAACAATCGTTAACACACAGCCATCGCAATAACCCTCTCAAGATTACACCGTCATTGCGTTAGGATTCAAATCAGGATGCAGATTCACATTCGGAGGCGGATGATTCCCTACTTCAAAATTGCTCACATTTCTATTATGGCCATGCGCACTATCGGTGCGCGCTTCTTCCAAATCTCCAGTGCGAGTCATGTGACTCTCGTAGCTTGTGGATTGGTGATGATCATGGTGATGGAGTCCGCCGACGGGACTATTCGCGTTACTTACATAGCTACCCACTCCCACACCGGCCCAGAACGCACGGTCGGAACTGCGGGGTCCCCATGACCAGCCTGCGCCTTGGGAGAGAGGGAGATGGTAGAAGCGGAATGAAAAGATGGCCGTGAGGACGCCGAGGAAAAAACCAAATAGGATATCGAAAGCGTGATGACGGAAATCGGAAAAGCGGGTTGAACAGATGTAGACAGATAGAAAGGTAGGGATAACAGTGATGAGGAGGAGGTAGAGGGGAGGAGCTGCAGCTTGGTTGCGGGAGGCTATTAACTTATCGTTGTGACCTGATGTGAGAGCTGATGTATCCATGTTCTTGGCGGAAACTTCAGAATCACTACGCTGATGACTCGGAGTGTGGCGGGATGGAAATGCAGAATGAGAGAGTGAAGAATCGGCGGTATAAGCTTGAGGTGCAAGGTAAGGGACTGTTAAGGCGAGTTTAGATGCTAGGAAGAGACTGAGGTAGACAAGTCCGGAAGATGAAAATGATGAGTGACCAGAAGGATAAGATCTGAATCCATCATTGAGAATCTCCTTATCTGTTTGTTGACAGATACCCGCTTGAACCAAAACAATTCCTTCTGGTCTATCACCACCACCAACAGCCCACTTTGCGATATTTTCCATATCAGGAATACATCTCGATATCAAATCTGGACGGGGTCGTCCAAAAAGATTCTTCATTCCACTCGTGATGACGAATGCCAAGGCGCAGGATAATGCAAGTCCGAGCCAAGAAGCGTGCAATTCCCATAACTTCCGTTTCCAAATCAAAGCTTTGGGTACAGATTTTGGGACTGTTGGGCCTGGGACCAGAGTCAAAGTGACGAGAAGAATGACGAGAGCAGGTACGATAAATGACAAAACGGCAAGGAGAGAGGTGGGGACTTTCTCGTGATTTTGATGTGGAAAGCTGATATCTGGATCGACGAGTGAAAAGGGTCGTTTATTGGGCGTCTGGTAATTGAACACAGAACCAAGCGCTGCTGCAACAATACAAATCACCCAGTCGAATACGTATGAAAGGACGACGGCTATGGAGATCTTTCCATTATTTCGAGATCTCATGATTGAATTCATGGTGAAAGATTCCCATCAAGTTGTAAGGAAAAGGACGATAAATTGCCCCTTAAAAGAAGAGAGGGATGAAGATTGTGGAAGAGAATAGATATGTGTATTCACTGCCGGGTGTAATGTAAGAATATTTGAGGCTGTGTTGTTGCCAAGGGTGTTCAAGAAGTTCGATGGTCTTTAAGGTTCATTCTTGACGTGAATAATTGGTCGATTCAAGGATCAGTTGTGACTAAAGTCTCTTTCCCCAAGAAATCCAGATGTGAGAATTAATTATTAAAGGGGAAATGATGCACACGACGTTGACGTTGACGTTTGAATATTTACCACTTTCCAAGGTTACCATAGATAGGGACAATAAAGACTGTCTACGATGAATGTAAATATGAATGTATTGTAGATGAGTTATTTATGATCAATTGGCGCTTGCTTACCTATGGATGGATGTACCTTGGAACCTTTTCGATTGAGGCTTTGCTTCTCAGAGTCCTGGCGCGGTGATGGATCTATTGGTTCTATCACTTTGATCAATATATGGGTCGAAAAGAAGGATATTGGAGCTGGAGTGGTGAGCTTTACCGCCATCTAGATCTCTTTCTTTTTCTTGCTGGATTGGATTGAGTATAAATATAAATACAAATATAAATAGAATCCATACGATGTAATGCATAGAATTACGAGATTGAAGTTTTATAGATGCATGTTTCACGTCACTTTGTTGGTAAATGATTTCTTTATTTGCTCAAGCCACGCGCAGCCACCCTCCCACACGCCCAGCCGCCACATATCAAACCACGCCCGTAACAGGTTGCTTCACATTTGTTGGTACACTGGTGCGAAGGTTCTGAGGATCTACACCGGCATGAAATGGCAACCTGGGCAACCTGGACAACCTGCACCCTGAAACCTGGTGGTATCAAGCCAAATTTGATTTGTTCGAATAAATCATCAAGGGGTTTTGGCGTCTATCACCCCCAGGCCCAGCATAATGATCATGCTTACTAATCACAGGGGCTCGTAAGTGCTCGTAAGTGCTCGTAAGTACTCGTAAAGACGGCATTGTCAGCTTTCATCATTTTCGGTAACTTCGGATCACAGAAGAACTTTCACGTGATCAAGTCTCAAGCCTCAAACTCGTTTCTTCATATCAAGTTTGTTTAACGCTACGAAATCCTCAAACATCCTATCATAATTGATCAACGAAAGGACATGAAAAGAAACCGACACTCATCTTTATCGCCGAAGCTATCGATCAAAAAGAAGCCATTCATAGCTCCGATATATTTCCTGGCTGAATTCAAAACAATTCACTTCTCAACTTCTTAATCATTTTGCTTCTTGAATACCAAAACTCCAACTGCTGTCAATGAAGGGAGCGAAGAATGTCCCAGAGTTATTTTGCCCCTTTCATACTCACTCCTTCTTTAGGTGTCGTAAGGTGGTAAGAGCCCTCGCTGAATTGGATGTACCTCTCTTTCTTCAACCACCTCAGGTTTGAGCCACTGTGGATTGCAGTATAACCCGCAGACATGACGTTTAAAGAAATCTCTGATACTTCGAGGTCCCATATCTGATGCTCCATATAGCCTTTGTGGATCATCTGATGCAATGGCTGGGTCTGCGAGGGTGCTAGTGAGCGAGTTAGGGAATATACTGATTCCTGAGAAATTAACTGGGAAAGAGCCGAAAAGATGGCTTGTAGGAAAAGCAAGCTTACTATCCATTGGCATCTCCGCCTCCCTGAAGGTCGCACAATAGCATTTTGCCGTCAGATATGTGATAGGAAAAGTGACTCAAGGCTTGAATTGGACCAGCAAATTCGTCATCACCCGGAACCCATCCTGTGGGGCTGTTGAACTTTCGGTACTTCTCGATAAATGGTTCTATAATGCTTACGGCTCCCGTCTCGTTGTTAATCCAAAGTGTCGACGGGATGAGGCGGACTGGGTATATTGGAATAGTATTTCCAGCATTGACTTCATCACTGTGCCATTCTGATGGCGTGTTTGCGGCATTGAATGCATCAATGATAGATTGTGCCTTTTTATCTACCTCAAGTTGCTGCTTGTATGGACCATCATGATACACAGGTCCTGTCTTAAAGCGCTTTAACACACAGCGCCGACCAGATTCTTTACCATTTGTATAATATCCATTCTGGTTAACTGATTAGTACTAAATTCAGAGGGTGGCAGCAGCAAACAGCAATAAGAAGAATACAGTAACGACATACATATGCCCATTTGAAATTTCCGGATTCATACACCCGATCCATATAGATTGTGGCTTTTGTACTATCATTGGGGGGATTTGAACCCACGCGCATGGTCATCTTGGCCATGATAAAATCATTGTCGCGATCAGGATATTTCAAACCATCCGGGGCATTATACAGGAAAACACCGGCCTTGGACATATTGGCTACATTGAAGTTATTTTCCCTCATCGCGACGTACTCTAATGACACAGTAAAATGGCGGTAAGTTGATCAGCCAAAAGGGACGATACACAATGTGTTGTGTATATTCGAAGTTTCGAAATTGATGATGAAGAGGTCCCGATAATAATAAGTATGAAATTTGATTAACCAAAATTGATGATAAGTATTGTGTTATGCGTATATGAGATGTTTGAATCCGATGAGAAAGACGCTCCAACAATGTCGAGTGTAAGATATTTCGCACAAGTGGAAGGCTCTATTTCTCAATCTTCCAAATGCAGAAGGCTCCACACATTAATTCCCAACAGACATGTCCCTAGCTTGCACGCAAACAGGAAGGAACCCCTTGAGTCGATTCACCATTTTCTTCGGGCGGTTCAACTGAAGGGAGTTCATTCGTCATATTGCTTCTGAGAAACGAATGGGTGACTTTTCTGACTGAAAATACTTGCACTGGCAAGCATCTGCATGCTTCTCTGGTCCTGATTATTCTGCGCAAACAGTTCAGTGTGTATAGTATCACTTCTGTTAGGAAGGAACCAAGTGGCAATCGCAATAGCGACCAATCTGAAAGACTCGTCAAAGATTATCTAGCATTTTTTATGGTAGCATCGCGGCATGTCCGTTCATGAAAACCCTTCAGGGTTAAACTCTCGGATATGATGGTCAATCAATCGTCTCATACCGAAAGTTCTGGTAGTTTGATTTTGCTACAATTTTCTACTTTCACCCCGGCTATATTTTGGAGTTCATTTTTGGCTTTGTCTAATATTCAATGGGTGTTTGGGCTTAGAGGTTCAATTCACTTCACAAATAGTCTTCCTCTAGCTTCCACTACGGTTCCACCTTCCTTACCCTTTCACTTCTTGTGTTCTTTCTTCTACAATACATCTTTACATTTAAGTAGCTTCAAACAATCACGTCAAATCGGGAGAAGTTAAAATACACTCAAGCATGGAACGTGTAAACGGTGAAATATTCGTCGTCACAGGTGGAGGGCAAGGTCATCTCCACCCATGCATCGAGCTTTGCACACGCCTCACCGCACGCAACTTCAACACTACGCTTGTTATCCCCGATCGGGGCATCGAAACTCCTTTCGAACCTCCCTGGTCGGTCCCCGCAACACTCCCCCAATCATTCATTCAAAATCCCCTAACTTCTTTTCTCTACATCACTCCATCATCATCTTTATCCTATGTGGTCGATCAATTCCGCCTGGAAGCAGTCAGTCAGCTTATGTGCCGCATCACCGACCACATCACCTCGGACTCGACACCTCCTATTATATGCGCAATCGTCGATATCCAAATGGAATGGACTAAAGATATTTTTACCAAGTGTAATATTCCAGTTGTGACCTTTGTTTCCTTCGGCGCATGTGCTGCATCTATGATGTCTCACGTGATGAAATTGAAAGCAGCAGCTGAAAAATTTGAAACTGGAGAGCAAAGTAAAACCATAGAGGGATTGCCAGTGGAGATATCCATTACACCAGAAGATTACAGACGTTTTGACCGGGAAGTGTTTGCAGGTCTGACGCCACCTGAAGACCCTGATTTCGATCGCACCCCGTTTTCTGAACCCCCCGAACCAGGAAATCTACCGCGATGGTTTGTGGCAATCAATGGCACCATTGGAATAATGTACAATACATGTGAAGAATTGGAAAAGCCATTTCTCGACTACATAACGACCGAGTTGAAAATCTACATGCCTGATTGGAACGTGCCTATTTGGGACGTGGGTCCCCTTCTCCCTGAAACATACTGGGAATCTGCGAATGATAGTTCGCTCATCAGAGGGAGACGGTCTCAACGCTTATCGAATCATTCAGAAGAGGAGGTTCTAGCGTGGCTAGATTCGAAAGAACAGGATGAGGTGCTTTACATCGCATTTGGAAGTGACGTCGGTCCTGTCATGGTTGAGTATTCTCACATTGCAAACGCGTTGGAACATTCCTGCATCTCGTTTATTTGGGTCATACCCCCACTAGCTGGTATACCCAAAGAGTCACGAGAACTCGGGGGCTTTTACCCCGAGGATCTCGCTCTCAAGGTAGGAAAACGCGGTCTTGTAATTTATGGCTGGGCCCCACAACTTCTCATCCTGTCTCATGTTTCCACGGGAGGTTTTCTATCGCATTGTGGATGGAATTCTACGGCTGAGGCGATAGGACGAGGTGTTCCGTTTTTGACTTGGCCGGTTCGGGGAGATCAATTTTATAATTCGAAATTGATTGTGGATTATTTGGAGATTGGATATAGAGTTGTGGAGAATATGGAAGATGGGGTAGTGGAACAGGATATCAAGATAGGAATTGAGAAATTAATGGGCGATGTAGAAATGAGAGAGAGAGCGAGGGAATGGAGGGGGAAATTTCGAAATGGATTTCCGGTTTCTTCGGATTGGAGTTTGAATGGGTTTATGCGGTTTGTGATGAGAGGAGGGTGTGGTGAAAGTGTAAGGGCTGTGCTGGATTTGTTTGTTTGGTGTGTTTGTTTCTCTTTTTTTGTATAGTGTACTTTTGGAGATGTCCTGTTTGTTGCAAATGAGCTTGGATATCGATTGAAAACCCCAACAGAACCATTAAGTTTTGTAGAAAAATCATTAGTTTTGATATGTGGTTGAACACTGAGACCTATCTACATCTGTGTGGTTACTAGCATCTCAAACAACCAAGTGATATTCCAATCTAGTATACAGCCTTGAATCGACTTTATCTGATAGTTAGATGGCTTACCGTGTGTTGTGATGATTGTCTCTAGGCTATGTGGAAGTGTTACAATCCGTTGGGGTGTTACGATCCGTTGGGGTGTCACGATCACAAACTAGAGCATATCTGTAGAAGTCAGATAAACTAGAATAAGAAAGCTAGAGAAGACAGAGGAAAGAGATCCTTAAGGGATCTTTTTACCTTTTATATAACGGCAAATTACTCTCATACCCTTCAAACATTATTGAATTACTCTTATGTCCTGAAAATCGCATTTGTTTTACTCTTATACCCCTGAGATTCTATCTCAAATTATAGAATCTATTCGTTTGAGATAGATTCGTATCATAGATTCTATCATAGGTTCTAAAAAATGTGAGAGTAAATCAGCTCTCAATTTTAGGGCATGAGAGTAATTTGCCGTATATAATAACGGATCGCTTAGTTTAAGGTATTCTTAAACTAAGGAAGTGTGATGAATAATCACGTAGGTGATTTAGATTAGACTTCAAATTGAAATCCAACTGATAATAACAAATGTAAAATTCTTGTAATTATATAACTCTTAGTATTACCATGGGGATGGCGAATTTAATATACTACTATAGTTCACACTTTTGTAACATTACTTGAGAGTCTAAAAGCTAAGACTTCGAAACCCATATGTTGTGATGTTGGGGTGCTAGTGCATACGCTAGCACAAATACATGACCCCTATCCCGACAGTAACTAAGTATAATGACTGCCTAAGTATGAAGCTCTACAGTAAGGATATCCATCCTGGTCATGTAGATCTTCATATTTAGTCGGATCAGTCCTGCTTATTCGTATTGAGACACTTAAGCGAATGCGAAAGAGACTAGCTCTTACAGCAGCCCTTAAATGAGGACTGCTACTTCCTGTAGATAGATACTTTTTACACAGAATGCAATATTGATAATTAGGACCTACCATCGTAGGTGCTACGTCAACTGCATCTCTCTCATACGAACATTTCCCTTCGCTAAGGCAGACCGAGATTTCTCGTAGCCTATGCTACGTCCAACCGACACCCATCTCAGCCTCAAGCATTAATATTGGAATTATTTAACAAGGAGATCTGAAGTCCAAGAGAGAACTTTAGTAAAGCACCACATTTTCTACATTCCAGCCAGTTTGAAGAAAGTCGGATCTTAAGTTATCGTAAATCCAGCTACTTCTCGACCAACTTAGACTTTTCATGCTGGGGCTCGAGGACATGCCTCCGTTCGAGGACATGAATAGCAACGCGCCCACCCGCAGAAATCCTGGCTGATATTTTGTTTCTGATAACAAAATGAGCCCCATACCGACGTCGGTCAAAAGGAAAAGCCGCAGAGATAGCTTGAGTTCCTCCCACGAGGTATCGTCTAGCAGGGGGTTCCAATCCAGGAAATAATAAATCGTCCCTCCAGGAACAGGGGCTTCCCACCCCGGAGAGCGGTATAAAAAACCGGGTATATTATAGTGCCCAATGCTCTCAGTTGGAGGATAAGCGAATGGGAGGACCCTTCCTCGGAGCGTGATAGACGAACCTGGTCTCGTTCTAACTCGGACGTTTGACTTCGCAGCAACCAGATTGTTTGATATAAACTCGAAGTCCGCCATTGTTTTCCTCTGATTGGGCCACATGGGCAGCGTGATAAGCCGGCCTTGATTCCTTGACGCCCAGCTCCATGACGGCGCGCAGTATTTTTCGGGGTCATGTAGATCCTTCATCATGTTGTGGAAGGGAACCTTATTCCCTGGCTTAATAGCCCATTGCAGGCTGCCATCAAAGTATTCATTCCGCCAATGTCCCGCAAGATACTCCGAGGGTTGGCCTTGCGTAGCCATTACTCTTTCGAATGCTAGAGCGAGACCGGAAACAGAGGCCAGCTTTTCGCTGGGAAAAGTGAACTGCCTGCCGCTGAAATCCATCATCCACATATTCCAATCACCAGGTGAGATATATGAAGTCTGAAATCTCGACGCCCTGAGGATATAGCTCGAGGACACCTCATCCACAGTTCCATCCTCAGAATAGATGCAATTGTGGCATTTCAGATGTACCATATTTTTACCAAATACAAGAAGCCTCTGTGCCATGATCTGCTCTTGCCAGACCCAGCCTCGGCTTGTCCAGATAGAATTGGACAAGTCGATGTCAGAGGGGTCTTCCCGCGACATTTTAGAGAGATAAATGCAGTATGACCCGACGACCTCCTTTGAGAGCGAGGACTGAAAGCTCAAGGTACAAGAGAGATCTTCTCTCGGAGTGAAAATGCTATCATGGCAGCTCCTCGCGGTTGCTGCACCGATGGTGATGAAGGAATGATAAAAAACGTCGGACATCATGAGGGCCTCCCTTTCCCAGTCCTCACGTACATCTTGGAGGATGCAAAGGGCGTCGATCCAGAGATACTGCATACCAAGCCCGTGGGACACGGCAATTGCGTCCTGAAAAATCTGTGGCATCTTGTGTTCTGGTAACTCCGATTTGTACTTCGACAGTGTACTGGAAGTTGTGGTCAGCGGCAAATCGGACCCCCAACAGTAGCTGAGGCATGCGTATTGTAACTGCTGCCTGGCCATTTCTGAACGATTTTCAAGTAAATCTCTTGTCTCCACAATTTGGGGACACTGGCCTGTTGTACCATCACCAAGAAAGAGGAGTCGTGTTGGTAAGAAATTTACTTTGTTTTGCGGAAACTCGCGATACTCTAAGCACTCTATATTTAAATCGCATTCTTTGATCCATTTCTTGATCAATGCATGACCTTTTCGGACGTAGGTCCTTGCAGGGCTATAGGAGTTCGCTCGATGTGAAGCCAATCTCTACAGCGACCTGACAAAGCACAAGTAAGCGACTAAGCGTAACCATGAAGACTCAGAGTAAACTTCGACTAACCAGGTTCTGCCATGATTGGAAAACTTATCCGGCTCTGTTTGATGATGATAGGCGATTTCTATTCCGGGGTGGCTGTAAGTTATAGCCAACGCACTTAGTCGGAAATATGGACCCTTATTCGCTTTCCGTGTCTCTGGAGGCGAGTACCATTGATACCTTCCCTCGATTTGCAGAGGTTGAGAGGGGGTTTTCCACCAGAGGCAGTCACCGTAGCGATCTAGCAGCGATCTTTTTAGCGCAAGACAGAACTTGCATGGAAAGGAATCGGAGAGTTCCGGCAGATTAGGTGGCGTCACCGTTCGCTCATAAACAACTCCCCCCTTTCAAATGCTGTCAGAATCCTCAATCTCACGACTCGTGTCTGTAACGGACCTGAACGAGTCGGCATGTGGGAAGTATAGCACCGATACGTCATCTTCGTTCTTCAGGGCCCCACCGGAATCGGCGTCATCCAAGGTAAGCTGTGCGGAAACATATCGCGCAAAGGGGAGCTTCAGTCACTGTGTTAGAATTCCCGTTGCTGGCGACCAATGGCGGGTCCATTGTCTTATTTTAAGAGATGCTAAAGAGCTGAGATGGGAGGCCAGGACAGCTCGGGGGGCTTGAAATATACAACAGATATGCTATCGGAACTTCTGTAACTACTGTAGTTCTCTGTTAATTGGCCATGGTCTGCACGTCAAGTAGACCAAGGTGAGTGCTGAAAGCCAGTTACTAATGCCTTTTATCCTAGAAAAAGCTCATGATCTTTGCCAACCGACCTTTCAGCCTTTCCTCAAGTTGGCTGGCTCTCATGTGCTACTTGGTCGGCTTTGTCTGGTCTAACTGAATTGTAGAGAAATGACAAGTTGTCGAACGGAAATGGTGGGGGTTAAGGTAAGCTTTACATAATCATTGCGGCTTAATAATCAGCTCACTGGTGGCTCTTCATGGGTAGGTACTTCAATAGACAGCTAGTGTTTTGAAAATTACAGTATTTGAGCAATTGAATGGATTTATTACTTGACGGGATTGAAAGTAGAATGAATTGGATGTTATACTACTGTATGTATTATTCCCAAGCGGTCGTTATGTTTTCATTCCTTGCTCAGTTCATCGAGTCTTTTACTGTTTCTTTCGAAGGGTGTGAAATGTTTGGTGAAAAAGTTGCTTTTATACTAGAATGTGGCATAGATATTGACTTTCTTACTTTCACTGTCAATGTCATAGCATTGAGGAACTACGATGATGATATCACCGCCTCAACCCCATCTACAATAGCACACTTCTATTACTCACTCCTCAAAACCAATTCTTAACCAACTTCACCAACTCCTCCGGGCATTCCTCCGGAATATAATGCCCCCCATTCACCGCAACACCCTCCACCTTTCCTCCACAAACCTCTTCCCAGAGCCCTACTACATCTCCAAACTCACTTCCACATGCGCCCTTCTCACCCCAAACCACAAAAACATCACATTGAATCTTCTTTCCCTCTTTCCTATCTCTTCTCTGCTCTTCAAGATCAATCGACGCCCCAGCCCTATAATCCTCACACATACCATGTACACCCTCTTCATCTCTCAATAATCCGTCATACACCTCTCTAGCTTTCGCATCCATAACAAATCCTTTACCCACTCCACCTTTCCCTAGAAATTTCTCAGAGAAAAGGTTAGGATTCCCCAGAATTGCTTGTTCAGGGAAGGGAGAAGGTTGCGAGAGGAAAGGCCAGTGCCAGTATTTTTGATACCAGGTATGTTTTCCTAATTCGTACATGGTTAGAGTGGGGAGAATATCTAGAAGTATAAGCTTTGTCACGGCTTCTGGATGATCTATGGCGAGTTGATGGGCGACACGGGCGCCGCGGTCATGGGCTAGGATTGAGAATTGTGGATAGCCGAGATGCTTCATTACGGTTAGAAGATCGGAGCCCTAGAGTATGTTAGTGAGTTTTGTAGAGTGTATGAACTGTATAGTATACAAAGAAGTTCTGACTCCGCAATCCTCGAATCTACCACCCATTTTACATTCCCCAAAAGAAGATGCAAACACAAACACCCATAACACACCACAAAAACATAAACAAAACACAAAAACCTACCATAGTACTCTTACTATACTCCTTATGCTCCTCACTACTCTTCGGCTTAGAACTCTCCCCATACCCCCTCAAATCCACCAACACAAGAGAAAAGCGATCAACCAAATGCGGCGTAACTAAATGCCATATATGATGTGTTTGTGGGAAACCATGGACGAGAAGAAGAGGAGGGCCATTTTTGGGTCCTGTGAGGGTATGAATTGAGATATCGGAGCTTGTGGAGATGGATTGGGAGGTAAAGTTTGGGTAGAAGGTGGCGGAGATCATGATTGGGTGGTGGTGTGGTGGAAGTTTGAATGAAGGAATTGAAAGGGGGTTTATGTCGGATGTTGAGGTTCAATAGATATATATCGTAATGAGAATGAGAATGAGAATGAGAATGGGAATAGAACAGTATTTGGAAAATGCAACTGGTATGGTGATATCGAATTGCCAGGTGATTTGTAAGATATGAGGTTAGATTATGACGAATGCGGGGTAGTTATGGTGGGGGTAGACTATTTAGGCGTCCGGCTAGTGCATGAATTCCCTAAACAGTAGACCGCGATAAGCTGTTGATCAGTATCTACCTAGGTATGTAATCTTACATCATGAGCTATACTAAGCTATTCTGTCATTTATCGGATTGTATTTTCTATATACGAGCATGCAGATAGTAGTAACCCCCCATTCACAGCCGAGTTTGTCCCTAACACTTCAGATTCATGCATCCCTCACGAATATGTTTCGAAGAAAACCATTATTCTTTTGTATGTTCATAAATTGTACACATTGATATTTATCTAGGTATGATGCTTGGAATAATTCCCACCGACTGCCCTCATATCAATTCACATCAGAAATCCTCATCCATATTCGTTAGTCGTCAAACTCCAAAACTATGCTCAATCGCTCAAGATAGGTATCCGCTTATCAAGCTTTTCACGCGCGCCTCCTTTCCCCAACTCGCTAACCCTTTCGTCCCATGTAGATAAATACCACCAACTCATCTTAAAGTCATTCCGCCATACCCAGCCAGACATTATATCGTAACATTTATTGCATATCCTTCCGCTGTACCAATTGTATATCGCACCCTTCTCAAAATAGGAAGCATATCGTGATTTCCACTTCAAATTCCAAATGGACTCTCATAAAATCCCAATCCGTCCGCTTTCACCTCAAATCACCAATCCCATAACTCCAGCCGCAGCAGCCGCATATGGCAGACAATTCATCATGGTTGGTCTTGGAATCATCGCGCCCACTCCATTAGTCCCAATGACGAAGGTAGCAGTTGCGGCTCCCGTACCGAATTGTGCACATCCAGCGCTTTCAACAGCATTACAAGCAACACTACTCAGACTCTGACAGACGCTTGCTGCACTAGCTGCTGGCAACCATCCCCCACTGATGGTGCTTGCAGCCACAGTAACACCGCCATTTGCAGCCGAGATTGTGATTCCCGCGCCCATTCCTCCCTCGAGATCAACAGTACATAGCGCATAGTTCTTAGCACAAGAATCCGTCGCGCTAGCACATGCTGCAGAGTTGACATAAGAAGTAGGTAAGATCGGGAATGGGAAATAAGCATTTGGAACGAATGTTCCCGTTGCAGTCGCAGAAACTGATGCTGGACTTGTTGCAGTTGCGACTGCGATAGTACCAGTGCAAGATGCGCCAACTGCACAACAAGCTATGTTATGAGCAGCATCTGTTGAACATACTGCGGCTGCAGGACAACAAGCACCGCCATATGAATCTTTCAAAGTAGAACAGGAGTTGTAATTGCTGGGGCAGTTTCCGTTGCGTTTGAGGAGTTCGGGTTTAGGTTTTGAGGAAGCTGGTGAAGTATCTGGGAAAATAGTTTCATTTGATATTATAGATGATTCTGAGGAAATATCAAGGTCGAGGGAAAGTGGTGCATAGAAAGGTTCCGGCGGTGAGAGTAATGATGGAATCTGGAGAGCTGTGGTTGAGGTGAGGAGGGAGAAAGCGAGGAATGAAGAATGGTAACGCATTTTGGATCGTTAATGTATGGAGATAAAGGTCTAGATTAACTTCAATGATTAGTATGAATATTAGGAATGTGTATAGAGAAGAAGAAGATCAAAATCGTCCGAGGAATGGAAAAAGAAATTTACCCGTTATATTATTCCAAGGTTCGCTGCCCAACCACCTATTTTATTGAAATCCCCGCCAAATGTAGCCAAAATTAACCTTATATTGCGCGATAGATATCTAGAGACTCAGTTCTTGGAATGGTGTATCAATGGGAAGTTTGTTAAAACCACTCAAGATTTCACAGACTTCAAGATTTAAATATACGTATCAAACGATGATGAAATCAGAACGTCTTCTCACCGAGTGCGCCAGCTGTTGCATTCAGGTACCAAATACATAATTATCTGCAGATATCGACCGTTACTACGGGGATAGTATTCGGTGAGGCTAGGATTGGAGGCGTTTAACCTTAATTCGAGTGGCTGGGGTGGATTGGGGAGATTCACCGCCTTGGGCAAAATTCGCTTCATTCACGTTTACCGTCATTCGGGCATCAAAGGTCCAATTTTATACTCAGCTACAATGGACTTTTATTACATCAGGTACACTCAAGAAAGCTATGGGTTGAGTTGAAGGATTACATGCCACATTCTACAGCGCTTTATTGGATGCTCTCTTTTTGGAATATCACTTCACTACTACTCAAGTCAATCATTTTACTGATTTACTAGACTGAGTCCGGAAACTGTTCGCGATGATATCCCTCAAGAATATTTGATAATCAATGACCTCGAGCGAGGCCAGTATTGTGAAATACCTACTTGCATCGTTCCTCTCCCATAACATAAAGTGTTTGAACAACTCAAGCACGAACTTGATCGAGGATGAAACAGCCAGCGGATCACTGGCCACTTGGTCATCAGCCTATCAAATGATGTCGATATCGACCTATCCCAAGAACGGGGCACTATGTTGTCTAATAATACTCGAGACCAGGTCAAGAGGTCAATCAAAACCGCAGGTCTCTACGAACCCCTAGTTCCAAGTCACATACGTATTCTACGACTTGATGGCATAATTCACATAGACGAGCCGAATCTTGGCTATTCTGTCCAAATCCTTATTGCGGAACTTGGAAGAGTATACAATACTTCACTCAAAAGTAATTATCTAAACAAAGACGACCGCCCTATGCATCATATTATATTCTCCCATAAATCCTTGGACCATTACATACCTTCACATTTCCATGGACCAGGTTTTAAAAGAGAAGATCCGACGAATTCTCCAAGAAGAAAACCTAAGAAAACCTTGGAACAGACGTCATCTTAGTTGGCTAGCAATAGAATTCAAGTTTCTCAATGAAAGAATGAGGGACCAAAATGGAAGAATAAGACTAAGAATAAGAATAAGCATCCACCTACCCCGAAGATGAAAAACAAAGGAAAGTAAAGCTACCAACGCTACGAGACCGTTTTCTGGCATGTACTGCTCGGAAACCTAGAGAACATGCTCGAAGATAAATTCTAAATTATATCAACCACGACAGGGTAAAATAATGAGGAGGGTGAGGCTTTCTTGCGCATCTTTTTGAGCTGAGAGTAAACGCGGTAGAAGAAGAGGTATGAAGTGGAGTCTCTCGCCCTCGCAATGTCGTAGAAATTAAGGTCGACGACAGAATTAAGAGTTGCCCAGACGGAGCCCTTATATACCAGCATTGGAAAGGCTTTTCTTCTTCTCCCGCCTTCCATTACATAGATGAAGTCAGGATGGTTCACAACGCCGAATAAAAAACAACTTCGTGATGATATATTTGGTAAGTTGTTCTATAGTTGACTTGCACTTCGTCAGTCAACAAAAGGTTTCATATATTTGGCCCAATCGATAGCATAGTTATGTTGACCATATGTTCTCCAGATTAATCGGATGGCATCGATATCCATTGTTCTGAAGAACTATACTCCTGTGAAAGCCATATACTTAAAAACGGACAGGGGAGCACTCAAAATAAATGCATGATCAAGGGTCCTCTCCACCATATTTTCACAGTCTTTATGATTTGTATTAAATAATCGTTTACATTCACCGAATCTCTTTCAATATCATCAGTGAATTGCCAACTCCATTGCCTGAGCACCTTCTGGTATCTTCCTTTGACAATCAACCAGTCTTTCGTATAAAACCCCACTCCAACCTTTTCACATCCATCACAAAAAGGTCAGACTGGATAATCCCGAGAAGCGCAGGAAGAAAATTCGTCGAAGAAGAAGGAAACGAAATGGAGCTCGACACGACGGACGTTGGTTCTGAAGTACCGGAACTGGAAGAACCAGAACCGGAAGTTGAACCGGAAGAACCAAAACCGGAAGAACTGTACGAATCAGCAGAGCCTCCCCTCAAAAGGAGCCGTGGTATTGATGATAGCATCGTAAGCACTTTTCCATTCTAATACTTCTATCACAACTTATTGACCCTTTAATTCTCCAGATCCTTGCGCATGGTGAACTTCTGAAAGCTTATTTGCGCATTCCATGCCGAATTTCCAAGAGAAATTCCGAAATCGATACTTGCAAAGAACTACTTAAAGGATACAAAGCCGAGAATATAATCCGACAAAACCAAGCAGATGTCAAAAAGCAAATGCGACATTTTGAAAACGATGAAGAGCAATTCGTGGAAAATTATATCAACCCTCTCATTAAACTACTTCGTGAACAACCAATGATCAAGTGTGCTCCTGAGAATAAGGAAATCATGGAGTTGTATGAGAGACGTCATGAGCTGGAGGAATTGATACAGAGTTATGAGGAAGATCCCAATCTCATGGAGCATCGACAGGCGTTTTTGAAATACTTTCACGAGAGAGTATTCCAGGAACATTTTATTAGAGTCCAGGAGAATATTGATTGGTGTCAGGACGATATCGAGGAAAGTGAGAAGCTGCAAGTGGATTTGAGGATTATGTTGGTAAACTCGGGGATTATTTTGTGGGGGAGAGGTCTACCGATGAGACGGATAGATGATAGTGGAAAACCTATCCAGGATTAGCTATAGGGTGAGTCTTATCACATGTGGCTTTTTATGTCTCTAACTTCGAGATACTGACATGTAAAACACAGCGGTTACCAGAAACAGATTTGCGCCTTCTCTTCAGCCTCCAAGAAAATGCGCCTATGTATTCAGATCTCCAAAAAGAACCACCTCCACCAAAGTCGAGTCACTAGCATTTATTGAGCATTTCGGTAGTTCATGGGCAGGATAATGATAACGACGCTTTGAGCTTTGATGCGCCTCGACCTTGTTCTTGCTTGTTCTGGTATGGTGTGATACGAGTGACGTTGAAGAATTATTTCCATTTCCAGTTCTCTCTGCTCTCCCTTTTTGGAAAGAGGATATACACACAGTGTAGAAAGAGCCCTAGAATCTCGGTTAAAGGTCACAATTGCAAAATCGGAAATTTTGTTGCATATCTGAAATCCTTTTTTCGAATTCTGATCGTCGTCGATCAGGTCCAAATATTAGTTCTGGTCTGAAGATCACCAACGTTGGTATTTGCCAGACGATCCCATTGGTATTTATGTAAACCTCCACGTTGCCATTCTCGTCAACCTTAATGATGATCTTGCAACCGATCTAAACGTTATGGCTCAGATGAGAAACATAACAAAGTTCCTAACCACAACTAATTTGCCAAACGTACTTCCCTTTCAGTGCAAGGCTATAATAGAACAATGATTCCACTATAAAGTTTTGTTGCATATCTGAAGAAATCTACTCTAATCGTGGTCTCAATAACTACCACCATCCTCATCGATCAGGTTGAACCATTCTTCCTATCAAATCGATCCAAGGGCGATGACAAGCACTCATATTTAGCTGCCCTACTTCTAAATCTACTAGCCTATCACTAAATATCGTTAGAAGACAACTCTCTCGGCCCTGTATCTGAACGTTGCCGTTCTCGAAACAATTCCTGTACTTCAGATGTGCAACAAATCTTCCCAAATTACCGAGCCGAATTCTTTGGACGAAGTAGTGAATGACCTAGGTACGTTTTCTCGTTTTGTTGCACATCTCAAAAAATATATATGCTAGCGTATTGCTAGCACATCAATAGTTCATTGCTAGTTCCAAATCACTTGCTAGCTTTTCACTTACGCGAAAGCCCATACGCATCAGATATGCAACAAACCTTCCAAAATTACCAAACTAAGTTTTTTTGAACGAAGTAGTGAATCGACTTCATTTTCTAAGGTTTTGTTGCACATCTCAAAATCATATATATGCTAGCTCCTTGCTAGCTTACTGCTAGCCCATCAATAGTTGATCGCCAACTCCAAAGTAGTTTCTAGCTTTTCACTCATGCGAAAACCAATGCGCATCAGATATGCAACAAACCTCGTGAAACTACCGAACTGAATTCTGTTGGGCGAAGTAGTGAATCAACTACATTTTTTGAAGTTTTGTTGCACATCTCAAAAATTATATATGCTAGCTCCTTGCTAGCCTACTGCTAGCCCATCATTAGTTCATTACTAGTTCCAAATTACTTGCTAGCTTTCACTCATGCAAAAACGAATACAAGTCAGATATGCAACAAAACTTTTTGTATGTACCGCACATTCACAAGTGAATATTCTCGCCTCAAGCAGCACGTGGTTTTGATCAATCAGAATTCCAGCAAGAAAGTTTTGTTGCACATCTCAAAACTTATATATGCTAGCTTATTACTAGCTTGTTGCTAGCCCATCAATAATCCATCACTACTTCCAACTTGATTGCTAGCTTTCACTCACGCGAACATCAATACACGTCAGATATGCAACAAAACTTTTGAGGTTTACAGTACATTCAATAATAGCTATTCTCGTCTCAGGTAGGATGCGATTTCGATGGATCTGAATTTCACTGCGAACGTTTTGTTGCATATCTGAGTTTGGGTAAAGGTGAAACATCTGTTGTGATGGATTCATTAAGATCAATGGAAGTTGCGAAGCTCCTATAGCCATCTCTATCAAGCAAATTCAATCAGACTTCAACCTGAACGTTGCCGTTGGCCTTGAGAATTCAATATCAACCTTGCCATTGGATCTAGCAAAGTCACCCACTAGCGCGCTTTCCTGAAATTCACATCTGGCGTTTATGATCTATTGGCTCCTGCCAAACTATAAGTTTGCGCTCGCTCTTCTATTGGTCCCAGAAATTTGATTACGTCAATTTCGAGATCGATCAGATGTGCAACAAAACGCGACGGGGGGTCTAGATTTGGATCTAAGTTTGACTCGATTCACTTCTAGTGATGAGTGTGCCTATCATAGTTGCAGATACTACATTCATTAATATGTACTCTCATCTTGAGAAAGTCACAACTTCAATAGGTTAGATTTTGACAACTCAAAAACTTGTTTAAGGGACATAGATCTTGGCGATTCATTGTTAGACAATCCTTACTACTAAATGAGGGGTATCGCACAACCCAAGCCCCAATACCATATTCAATATCAATGGAATTAGTATAAAAGCTCTATCTCCCTCGGCTCTAGATCAACTACGATCACTTAACCACAAGCAAACACCTGAAGTTGATAATCACTATTACTGAATATTACTGATTGATACATACCTAAATACACAAAATGTGCAACAACTCCTCCAAGAAGATATACGCCAAACCAAACCAAACCATACCAAACTAACTTGGACCATATATTTCCATCCGTAAATCTACCCACAAAACCCACAAATCTACATCCAATATTTTTCACCTGATTCAGCCCATCAATGAAGACCAGTACTCCCCCACCCCGGTATCCAGAAACTAATCACTATTAACAACCCTCAACGTCCTCCTCGGATTCATTACTACATTAAAGAAACTTGGTTCTCTATCCCCCAGTAAATCCTCCAAACTACTCGTAATACTCCCCGTGCTTCCTATACTCCCCATCCCCTTTCTATGACCTCTCCATCCCGCTCTTACACTCTCACTTCCTCCCATTACAACCCCCTCATCTTCTTCATCAATGGTCTGATAAGATGCTCCTCCCGGCATGATTCCGCCTCCAAAAACATACGTTCCACTCCCCCTTCCACTTGCCCCTCCCCTATCCTCATTCCCACTACCGCTACCGCTACCACTTCCTTCATTCCCCGAACTCGAAAGACCTCCCCCTTCAGATCTGACACTAGGCGTCTGTACCCCACCTGCGCCACTGATATCCGTCCCAAACGGTCCCAGCATCATCCCTCTATCTTCTCGACTTGATCCACCCGAGCCCCTAAACATTTTACCGGCAGGCACGAAAGCCGTTCTCTGCGACATCGCCACATGATCTTTATAAAGGTTCAACTGTCTCCTATAAAGCCAGGTACAAAACGCCAGATATCCAGCTAGAAAAGCTAATGCAGCTGCAATGACACCTGCGATAATGGCTGCTTTATTTGGTCCTTTTTTGTCTGAGTTAGGAGATGAAGTTGGAGTTGAAGTTGAAGTTGAAGTGATTGTAGATGGGGATTGTGTCACTGTGAACGTAGGTGGTTTTCCCGTTGCTAAGGGACCGGCAGTTGCTGATCCTGCTGCAGGTATAGTCGCTGTCGCGCCTCCCAGTCCTGAGCCGCCAATAACAGATTGTACGATGTCAGGAACGGTATAACCTATCGAGCCTTTAATGATATCGGAGTCTTGGTCCGATGAAGAGGAAGAGGAAGATGAGAGGGCTGTAAAGGAATTGGTCCATTGAAGTGACGATGCATTGAAGACATATACACCAGGACTATCACACGAGATATCCTGACCGACGTAGCCTCCAACGACTACCATCTGTCCGTCCCAGAGATTACAGGTATGGCCTGCTCGAGCTGGGGGTAACGATTGAGACTGGTCTGTCATATCGACTTGGATCCAAGTGAAGGATGGAATGGTTAGAATCCACATATCGGAATACTGAGTTTGGTTACCATACGGAATGAGGTTTTGTCCTCCATATAAATAAACGTTAAAACTACTACCATCGGGTGCAGCGGCAACGACAGCGCAAGGATCAACACGAATGGGAGGAGTTGTTCCAGAGGTAGCCTGCTTGTACCAAGTACTATTTGCGATATCATATACGTCGATAATGTTCATCTCCGTCTTGCACATGTTAGTTCTCTTGATATCATGGCTGGGGTTTCATGACTTACAAATGTCTCATTAGTGCCACCTGCAAGTCCAAGCAGCATTCCATCTGCTCCCCAGCCAGGAACATATACCAAGACACCATCAGCTCTCTCTGTAAAGCCAGCCTCATCTTGCAAGCCACCTTGCGTAATGTTTCTGTATACACCACCGGAACCAGCTCCACTCGTAGTTCCCAATGAAGTCACTCCAGTATTTGTATATCCAGGATGAGTGAATTCTAGAAGACTCTTCAAATATATTCTGGCAATTTGGTTTGACCACCCAGGCGTCGTGTACATATCTGTGCACACCCAATATTAATCAGTAGCTCATTAATTGTCCATACCCACTTGAGCAACCGAGAGAAATATGATGCTCACCCAAATGTCCCCCAAAATACCAACTTCTACCCAATTCTGGAACACTCAGCCCCGCACCCTCCGCCGCACGCTGAACATCCGCCGGTGCAGTGTCTGAACCATTCCCCGCCGAGGTTTGTGGATTTGAAAACTCCGTCCAGGTCGCCGACGAAATGTCATATTTCCATGTTGCTACTGACGCAGGAGAAGTTTGTGGGCTATCTGAGAATTCCCCTCCATATAGAAATAACGAATCATATGTATGCCAGAGAGAGCCCATTGCTACTGCAGGTGGGCCTGATGGTTGTGGTAGGCCGGATAAAATTGGAGATGAGATTTGCCATGATTTTGTGAGATCTAATGTTACGAAGTCGTTGTCTGTAGATGAATCAATACCATGTCCAATTATTTTGATTGAAGCCCTTACTCCAAGTATCCGTAGTTTGCCCACTCTTTGTGGTCGCTTCTCCTCCATATATGTAAAGTGTTCCATTGACATTCGCAGCTGAGATGTTCTCGATTAATTATATCCACCAATCCAAGTGAACAAGCAAAAACATACTCATATGACTCCATCTTGTACAAATCGAAGTAGGACTGTCAGCCCTCCCCTCGATCATACTCCCATTATCCACAAATTCCGAGTCCCTTATAATGCCCGCATCCGCACCATTCCCCTTCATAACATTCGTGTTACTGTTCTGCCTCCCGGTGTACCCAAACGCAGGCACAACCACCGCAATCAGAAATGCGAGTAGTGCAACTCTCGGCATCGTAGAGAATGGTGTAGGGGGTGTATTCGAAGTCGCAATTGTACGTCTGCCACTCTTCCCAATCTTTGCTGCCCTCGACTCATCATGTGGTTCTTTCCTTCCTCTCTTTTCTCCTGAAACTGGCGAAGTCGGTATATTTGTGGATATTCCATTCCACGTACTTCTTATCCTCAAATCGGCCCCTACAGCTGCGAATTCCCCTCCTAGACTCCCAACATCCACCCTTTCAATCACCTCATCATCTAATCCCTCTTCTCTAAACCTTGACCTTCTGACCGTCCTGATCTTCTTCCCAGTAAATTCATTCGCCCTTTCGCATTCGCGCGATTGATCTGCCACATTTGTTGGGGCAGCAGGACCGCGAAAGGGTACATGTATCGTCTTCGACCGATCAATTGTAAAACCGCCCATCTTTGTTCGTTCCTCCAGCCACCAGGTCCCTAGAAATCTTAATCTCCGTA